TTTGGTGATGGGAAACCCGCGGGGATTACAATCGAGATGGAAAAAAAAATGTGCAAAATGATGTAAAAATAAACTTTGTAATAAAAAAAAAATACAAGTCACATACTACTTGTTCATGAGGCAATGCTGCCTGAAGGTTGCCTATTATTCTGGAATTCTGGAAGCTGGCACACCCAAGAGCTAGCAGCTCACTCACTATGACTGCTTAGAGCAAATGTCTAGAGCTTCTTCTGCTTCAATGAAACATCATTTTGAGCTACCTCAAGTTTAAGTACAACTTAAATTTTAAATCTTACTTCAAATCCTTTTGTAAAGAAACTGAAGTAAAGATAAGTATTTCTGAAAAGGTATCACTCAAGAAACACATTTCATGATGTGGATTCCCAAAAAAAGTTTTATATAATACCAGGAAGTATTAATCTTGACCACTAATGTGTGTGTCCTTGATTTCCTCTTGTAAAATGAGAAAACAGGAGTCTTTCCACATCATATTTGACAAGAAAATAAAATAACAAATATGAATGTATTCAGAAAAGTCTTTTTTTTTTTTAAAGATTTATTTATTTGTGCATACAGAACTGGGGCACAGGTCAGAAGCTCAGGGGCGGTGAGAGGCTTCACCAGAGACAGAGTGGGGAACAGAACGGGCAGATCGATGAAGTACACTGCTGAGGGGAGCAGCGGGCGGGTCAGGAGAGGTATGCCACACCATGTGGTCACCTCCGGGGCAGGCGGGAATCGAACTCATGCGGAAGCGGCCTTAGATTCTCAGTGCTGTGCTTCAACCCACTGCGCCACCAGGGAGGGCCAGAAAAGTCTTTTTTTTTTTTTTTTTTAAAGATTTATTTATTTATTTATACAGAGCTGGGGTACAGGCCAGAGATGCGGAAGGTGAGAGGATTCACCAGAGACAGAGTGGGGAGCAGAACAGGCAAATAGACGAAGTACACTGCTGAGGGGAGCAGCGGGCGGGTCAGGAGAGGTCTGCCACGCCATGTGGATCTCCTCCCGGGCAGGCGGGAATCGAACTCATGCGGAAGTGGCTTTAGCTTCTTAGTGCAGTGCTTTAACCTGCTGCGCCACCAGGGAGGGCCCAGAAAAGTCTTTTTAAGCTCTATATAAACACTAGCTTTTATAGTAGCCTGGTAAATGGAATAACGTCAGCAGGACCACAGGAGTGGGCCCCAAACCCAGCACTGTTGTAGCTGAGAGCAGTGTATTCTCTGGACATGACCTGAGAGTACCTTGTTTTAATAACTGGAGAGGGGCCCAGGACCCATGTGAAATAACTGTGTGAGGAAGGAGGCATAAGATGTGGGTGCAGGGTATTTGACGACCCCTCCCTCCAGACTCCTACACAGCAGAACCTTATTCTTTTCCACTCGATTTCAAAACAATATCTGAATATTAATATAAAAGTGCTCTAAAAAAAAAAAAAAGCTCTCAATAGGAAATATATCTGCCCTAGGAAATAAATAAGCTTAGGAAATAAAATTCCAAAAAGACTGAATTAATTTTCACCTAACTGGGTTTTCAAGGGTGTTTGTGTTTCCTCAAAGAAACTGAGGTAGGTACCCACCTACCCATGCTCATAATACTTGTAAGAAGATTGGGAGAAAAGTATGGAATAAAAGAACTTAAAGTCTTATGAACAAATTTTAATGTCACTGTTCACTTTCTCAAGGAGATTTCTACCACCCCAGTAACCTCCTGACGATACCTACCTCAAACTACTAATCATAACACATAAAGGAGAGAAGACAAAGGTTTTAAAAAGATGCAAAAGAGCTTACAAAAAGCAAGCAAATGAGAAAGTAGTCAAGTAATGAAATAAATTATAGACGATCTTTTAGAAGAGTTTTACCCCTTGCGTTCCCAGAAAATTGCTACATTTTGCTGTTAAACAGCACATTCTCCATCTGACCTAAACTACTTAAATGGAGCATTCCTGAGTGGTTTCTATATGGCTTTAGCTCAGGAAACATCACTGAAATCATGGAAGCCCACGAAGGCCCTGGTGGCCAAGTCATGGCTTAAAATTCCCCTCTGCTGTTCTCACCTTTCTGGAAGTGCAACCACTTCCCGGGAGAAGCTCCTAATTGCTACAGGCTCCAGTCCATCTTCACCAGAGCAACGTCTGCTCAGATGAAGATGTAAGTTTTCATGCTGAGGTCTGGCATGTCTGTGAGGCTCCAAATCTCCAACCTGATGGTGTTAGCAGCTGCCACCTGCTCTGGCTACAGGCTGGAGATGCCACAGAGGCTTGGGCTAAGCTGCAGAGGCTGCCAGTGGCCACACGAAGCCCGGCTGCCCCTCCCCACTCCGCAGCCCACTACAATCTCAGTACAGTGGCAAGAGATAAGTTACCTCCTGCAGAGCTTGGGCCAGCTGTTGCTTCAGGTCCTCTTCTCCTTGCTCTTTCTCCAAATCCTGCAAAACCAAAAACAAAATGGAAGGTTTCCCTGCGGGAAGCAGGGTGGAAAAGGAACAAAATCCAGCAACAAGCTGAGCAGACAGGCTAGCAGGAGCATCTGGAAACAACAGGGGGCTGGCAGATGGAAAATCTGCTTTACTTCAAGCTGTCAGCAGTCAGGGATCTGAGCAGAGTTAACCGCCCAAAGACTGCCACTCAGGGCTGTCACCTTCAAGCTATCGCCGAGGTGGTTCTAGGGAAACTCTGGGCTAATATTCCAAATCTCCTTCACTAACTAATGCCATGAGTCTCAAAAGGATGCAAACTGAGAGCTTCTGATCCAACACATCCCTAAACTCATCTCTGAGCTCCCCGGGTTGGTGGCACGCCAAGCAGGTTTCCTCCCTCCAATCTGGCCACCCAACCTCTTCTGAGTTTTGTTTTTTTACCGCCTTTAGCCCATAACTGCTCCTCTTCCCTCCCTGTCTGATGTGAATGTCCTCCACATCACCATTATCCTATGTCCAGCATCTTCTACAAAAATTTCTGGGCCTGTCCTCCTTACTTTAATAAGTACCTATCATTTAAACACCAGCTTCAAATTATCCCCTAACCTGAGTATCGATATATTGATTTAAAACTACTCTGATTACTTTAGACATATGTATTTTCTCAACAAAATACATTCTTCAGTGGCAAAACCCACTGTCCTTTTTTTTTTTTTTTTAAATGATACACCATTGTTTTACATCCTTGGTTTTCCACAATGCAGGACGGCATACCTCAAGTTTTCTCACCACCTAAGCACCCACCAGTCTCCCTCTCCTGATGATTTCTCCCCTCACCTTCTCTCTCTCCTTCCTCTTTTTGGATGTTTGCAAGGGTTGGTTTCAGAGTTTGTCTTTGTCTGCTGCTTTGGTTTGTCTTTCTAACCACCCAAATTCCAAGTACAGAGCCAGGCAGCTTCGGTATTTCAAAAAAAGAAAAAAAAATTCTGTGTGAAGCAGTAAAACAGCATGGGTTGAATGGGCTTCTGAACAAGTAGCAGGGGTAGGATAAATCTACAGGATTTGCTGGCAGGGGCAAATGGAGCCAATAAACAAAGGACTAGACTACCTACGACCCTCTTATATCTGGAGAAATCAGCCTTTCTTTACCATTTGGTATGGAAAGATTTTATAGCTATATGTTGAAGCTTATTAAGATATTAATTAATGATGCCAATTATTAACAATATTAATTAACAGTAACTACTGTTCCTGAATGTATTAGATTTTAGAGTCCTGCCCTGGTCAAGGTGTCATACACTACATAAGCAGATCTAAGTCTCCCTCTATTAATTTCAAGAACGAGTCAATGTCAGATGAAGGAGGCAAAAGGCCACACATGAGTACCCTTGGGAAGACCTATTTAATCCACGGCCTTTGCTAATACCACCAGTTCAAAGGGGTGGCAGAGAACAGAATGGAATTTATAAATTGTTAAGAAATAAGCCAACACTACTGGTGTTGCCTGCCATGAGCAAAGTAAAGAAAAGATAAACATTTGTTCACTTCAATCCTGATTGGCTCTTCTTAGTTCTAAGTCAACAACGGGGAATTCTTGACATTCAACAATACCTGATCGAATCGGTGGGAGGAAACACGTGGGTTTGACCAGATGGGAACTGACATTTTGAGCAGGGATCAGGATCAGTTCTAGCCTAAAAACTCTGGGCAAGAGTTTGTCACCTAAGCAAATGACTTGGGGAAGGCAACACATTTAGCTTTACCTACCCACAGCTAAGACTGGCATCATCTCTTGCTAAAAGCGCTAGAGAAGGTGGCTGATGGTTCCAGCCAACAATTGAGTCATAGTTTGTCTACCTGTCTCTGCTCAGGCTGGATGCTCAGAACAAAAAACAAAAGCATTTCTGTTGTAGCCTCCCACTTTCTAGATTAGCTACAAAGTTCACTAATCATCAGGCTGACAGGCTGCAGGTACCACAAGAGCACAGCAGCCAGCTGACCCACCTGTACTAGGTTTGCCTGATTTAGCTTTGACCACACAGACCACCACCATTTGAACTGGAGTGGATGGGGGTTTGTGGCATCCTGACCTTTCTCAACCTCTCTCTGAATTGAACCCAGTTCTGAGTGCTCAGTTACATCCTTGCTAGTTCTGCCCATCACCTTGCACCGTGTCTTCACACCCCAACTCCAGCACTTGATCTGATCCTCATCTTAAGCCCTTACCCCCTTTACTCAACCTCCCTCTCTTCTCTCAAAGCTTTCTGTTCCCATTCCACATCCTGTTTCTTGTGCTTTGCATTTGACTCCTGGCCCTGTGGGCTTCCTGAGAGGCACTGCTGACCCTCCCTCCTGTGCAGTACCTGGAGATGCTGTTCCTCCTCCTGGAAAGTCTTCTCCAGCTGCTCCACTCTGGCTTGCTGTCGGGCCTGCTCTGCGCACAGCTGGGACTGTAAGTCTTGCAGCTCCTGCTCCATTTTCACAATTTTCTTTGAGTTCCCTTTCTGGGTGTGCTTTTTCACATTCAAAACAGCTACCTGTTTCTCCTGCATCTGTGTTTTCAGCCTCAGAATCCTGGACATGGTCACCTTAAACAGCTCCAAGCTGCTCTGAGATGCTGAAGGGTTTGAGGCTTTCTGCTTCTTATTAAGATGCTCTATAACTTTTGTGGGGCCGGGGTAAGTATTAGGCCCTGAGGTCTTCTCACTTGGCTCAAGGGAAGTCAACTTAGGATCCAAACATTCAGGGGGTTGACTGGCCACTTCACTTTTCCCATGTAACTTCACTGGTTGACCAGGTTCACAAGGTACTTTACTCGTGGATTTCAAATTTGAGGGGCCTTCAGCTCCAGGACCCTCTAATTCATCCAAACTAAATTTCCTTTTAGTTCGCAAGCCTTTGTTCTTTTCTATCATCTGCACATTCTTTGGGGCAAGACAAGGATACATCCTTTCCCAGTCTTCTTCAGTAACATTGTATTCATACTCTGCATTCTCCTTATTTTCCAGGGGCACCCCAAGCTGGATATGGTCTCCCTTATGGATAGAATAGACCTTGAAAGGTTCTAGACGTTCTCTGTTCAGCCAAACACCATTCAGACTCTAGGGAAAGAAAGACAAAATCAGTTTCATGACTTTCCTCCTAATGAAATTTCCTCTCTTGCTACTGCAACACCTTCTGCCTTTTCAGAAGGAAAACCCTTGAGGAAAAAGCAGAAAAGCTCATAAATTATCACCTTTACAAACAGCATATGATCTTAAATACCATGGCTTAAATAAACCCAACCCTATTCAAGTTTTTCTTTGCACTGGTTTTCATAGTCAACAGTTCAAATGTCAGTGGCTGCTAAGTGATAACTAAAAAAAGCTGGCCAGCAATGCCTCAGTTATCAATAGGGGAAGAGAGAGTTAGCTGTACTTCCTTATAAATTAATTACATCACCTGATGCTCAATCTTTATCCAGAGTTTCTAATCAGTTGTTGAGGATGGTGTAAAACCAAAGCCCAAAGGCAATGCTGTCCTGGAGTTTTCCAGATGATTTATGTAGCTCAGTGGTCACAACCCTGACTGCACAGTGAAATCACCTGGAAATGTTTAAAACAAAAAGCAGTATCCAATCACCCTGAAGCTGAGATGACAAATAGGCACCAGGAATTTTAAAGTCGGGTTTACACACAAACTCATACAGTGGGTAACGAGACATGGTGCCCTGGGCAGTCAAATTTTCCCCCAGCCCCAGGCAACAACTCGTCTGTTCTCTGCCCCTTTCCAGAATGATAAAATGGAATGATACATACCCTTGAGTCTGGTGTCCTTTCACTTAGCACAATGCCTTCAAGATTTGTCCACTTTTTTGCATGAATGGTAATTTGGTACTTTTATTCCTGAATTGTATTACGGAGTATGAACGTACCACTCTCTAGTTAGTCCACTCCCTAGTTGGTACTGGTGATCATGAAATCACCGCAAACATTACACATAACGCTATATGTATGCATAGACATAAAAACATTCACAGACAAGTTTCTGTGAGAACAAGGGCTTTCATTAATTTGGGGTGATAATCTAGAACAAGCCTTGCTGGGTAAGTTATGTTTAACTGCAAGAAACTGTCAAACTGCTTTTGAAAGGGGTGGTGCCATTTTGTAGGCTCACCTGCGATGTTTAACAATTACAGTCACTATACATGTTCACCAGCACTGGTATTGTTTTAACAATTCTAAAGGTGTGTATTAGTACTTTCTTTGCTAAAATATAAAAACACTACAAGTGTGCGAATTATAAGTGCACAACTAGACAAATAATCACAAAGTGAAGATCTCAGTGCAAGACCACAAGGTTTTTAAAAATCCTACATGGACATGGGTGACTTGATGATGGGAAACCCGGAGATTACAACTGAGATAAAAAAAAAAAGTACAAAATGATGTAAAAATAAACTATTATATTATTAAAAATAAATAAATGAACCCGACATGGTTAACATCCCAGAAAAGCCCTTATTGGCTTCCTCTAGTCACCAAGGTGACTTCTAGCCTCGCTTAATATCACACATTAGTTTGCCTGGTTTTTAACAAAATATAAATGGCATCATAAAATATGTTTTGTTTCACTTAATATTTTGTGAGATTTACCCTTGGTGTTAAATACAGTTGTAATTCATTCAAATTAAATACAGTATATGCTTCCACAGTTTATTCACCTATTCTATGTAAGTGGACATTTGGGAGTAAAAATACTGTCATAATGTATAAGTAAGTGCAACTCTAGTAAATAATGCCAAATAATTTCTCAAAGCAGTTACACCAATTCATACTTCCAGCAAGACTGTTTGTCCCATATCCTTGTTAATACCTGGCATTGTCAACATGTAAATTTTAGCCACTCAGTGGTGTACTGTGGTAATCCATCATGGTTTAATTTGCATTTTCCCTGATCATTGATAGGGCAGAACCACTTTTCATGAATATTTAATATCTGGACTTAATATTTAATTTTGTGAAGTGCTTGCCTCTTGCCCACTTTTAAAACTGGGCTATCATTTTCTTACTGATTTGGAGTTCTATACACATACGTGTGTAAGTCCTTTATCCACTATGTGTAGTAAGTATCTTCCATTCTAAGTTGGCCTTTCACTTTTTTTTGGCCTTTCACTCTTAATGGTGCCTTCTGGTGAACAGAATTCTTAAGTTTAATGTGATAATGTCATTATTTTTAAAAAATACACCAAGTGAGGATGTGGAGAAAAAGGAACTCTCCTGCTCTGCTGGTGGGAATGCAAACTAGTACAACCACTATGGAAAACTGTTTGGATGTTTCTCCAACTGCTAAAAATAGAGCTTCCATATGACCCAACAATCCCACTCCTAGGTATCTACCCATGACACAAAAACAAAAACACTGATTCAAAAAGATACCTGCACCCCCATGTTTACTGCTGCTTTATTTACAACAGGAAAGACATGGAATCAACTCAAATGCCCAAAAGTAGATAACTGTATTAAAAAGATGTGGTACATGTATACAATGGAATGTTACTCAGCAATCAAAAAGGATAAACTCATGCTTTTTGCAGCAACACAGAAGGAGCTGGAAGGGATCATGCTTAGTGAAATAAGCCAGAAAGAAAAATACTGGATGGTTTCATGGAAAAAGGCACAAAATGATGTAAAAATAAATATACTGTTAATAGATAAATAGATAGATAGATACATAAAGTCCGATATTGGGTCAAAAAAAAAAAGTATGTCAGGTAGGGGCAAAAATTGGAAATATCATAGAGAAGCACCACCCTAGCTGCTAGAGACCTCAAGAGTCACAAGCAGCAAGGTGCTTTACTATTCACCTGCTTGCAGGTAGCAGGTGAATAGTAACATGAGAGATGGGGAAGAAAATAGGCCAGATCCTCTAGGAAAGGAGCCAAGGAAATGCCCCAAGGCATTCAAATTGTGACTTGGATTGATTTTCTGATGGAGTTAGATATCAATATATAGGATGGACCACCTGAAAAATCTTATCAACTGAAATCTACACATCTACAACCATCAGATTTTTTTGTGCAGAGTTAGCAGTCCATCATGGTTGACTTTGGCTTTTTTGAGCCAATTTTAAGCTAAATTGATTTGTTGTAACTTTCATATCTGTACTTCTTAAGCTTTCACTTTCTGGCCATTCCAGCATAGAAGAGACCCTTTTATGAAGAGAGAATGTAATTCTGAGTCTTGAATTACTAGAAAGAGTTAGTCTGGGAAAGTCTTGGCAAAGGACATCAAATATGATCCTAACAAAAATATCCTGTACTTGAGATTCAAACCCTTTATTAGTAGGATTGCCAAGGCATCACGACAGAAAGAAAAGCAGTATCTTAAAGGGGGTGGGGGGAGAAGATAGGGTGCTTTTTACCTGTGAGAACAGATGCTCCAGTCATAACTTCTCTCAAAAAAGCAGCTGCCTCACCAAGTGACTCAAAACAGAATTTCAACCTAGTTGTACAGAAAAGAATAGGAAAAACCAAGAGCCCACCTTTTCTCTCTCTATTATGTGCCTCAGACCCAAGAGAAGAGTCTCATGGTAACAATAGCCCTAGAAGAGTATAAACCAGACACTGATGACCACCTAGGAGAACAATCCTGATCTTTCGTTGGCACAGGTTGTCCTTGAGGTCAACACAGGGACACTAAACTGAGTCAACTTTCCAAGCTCTTAAAATACATGCAAAATGAGTTTGCTGGGCCAGCCTGTAAGACACCTGTGATACTGTGAAATATAAGATATATATTTGATCTACATCCTATTTCTAGCATAGAAATACTGCACACGAACAAGGAAAGAAGCAACACTTCTGTAATACTGCAGCCCTCTTTCTCAGAGAGTCAATTTAAAAGAGGAAAACAACTGTTCCTAACGTGTTCTGATATAAGCTACTGCAGGGGCTTGAAGATCTTACAGCTATAGCTTAAACATACACAATTAATCAATTTATTTTTTAAATTTTGCTCCCAGTAAGCAGATTGTTGTCCTTCAACGGCATCCAAAAACAGGGCATATTAGGAAGCCTTATTTGAATTGAGTCAGGGATCATTCAGTCAGTTCTGCAAGAGACCTAAGGCAAGTTCTCTTATCTCTTTAGGCCTCAGATTCATCTGTTCCCAGAAGGGGTTAAGCCAGATCATTTCTAAGGTCCCTTTTTCAGTGCCAATTTCTATTCTGCTCATAGCACCTCACTAAGAGTGCTGAACCAATTCACTTAGCATTTATACCTTCTCCTCCTTCAACACAGTGCCAGTTCAACTTAATCCTAGAGTAGGAAGGTATTTTCTTCAGCTGCTTACACCTAGCAGTTTTATGCTAGCACAATGAGGTTGCTGGGCAGGACTGTAAAATACTTGTTGATACTGTGAATTATAATAAGGTATGTGTGTGTGTGTGTGTGTGTGTGTGTGTGTGTGTTTAATATTTGAGCTACATTCTATTTCTAGCATAAAGCTCCTCACAAAACAACAATGACAAAGCAACACATCCTTGAGATTTCTTAAGTAGAAAAAGAAAAATAACTTTTGGAATGCCCCTGAGGTTAGGGGCTGGTTGCCAGAGGAATCATTCTAGGGATAAGCGTAGAAACTTTCAGTACCACCCCCCAACCTTTTGGAAGAGAAGAAAAGGTACAGGTTGAATTAAGTGATCAATAACTTAATCAATCATGACAACATAGTATTTTAAAAAAAGCCTCTATAAAAACCAAAAGGACTGGGTTCAAGGAGCTTCCAGGCTGAGGAACATATGGAGGTGCTGGGAGAAAGGCATATATAACAGAACATCGACGCTCACATCACTTCCAGGTACCTTGACCTATACATCTACTTAAAAGAATTCAAAGGGATGGAGGAACAGATCATAGAACTCTTTGGTTTATAGGCAGTCAGAATTCTGAATTTACTTGCCAGTGGCACCTGAGGTCTGAGGAGAGGTTCTTGGAACATCTATCCTCTAGTTGGTTGGGTTGGGCAGAGGCACAGGTGTTAACCTTTCCAACAGTTATCTTTAAAATCTGTTCATCCAGCAGTGTAAAACAGTATCTGAAGGCATTTCATACTTCCTAATCCTTAACTGTTTACATTAGCATTTCTCTCACCACTGTATTCCTAAGTGTTTGTATATCTACTTTAGGTACATCTTAATTGCTAGGCTTTATATATTATTTCACCTCTCTTAGTATTTACACTAGACCAGTGATTTTCAATTTTTTTTTTAACGCAGAAAAATCCTTGATTCAAAGGAAATCTTCCTCAGAAAAAAAGAGGTGTGTGAGTGAGGGAAAAAGAAGGAGTGTTTGCTCTGACTAAAAGGAGTGAGGAAAGAAAAGAGCTAAGTACAGTCACTTAGTTTCTCCCTCTCTCCATGTCCTAAACCATACTTGTACTCCAGAATCCTCAATAGATTTCCTAAGGTCTTTGTGAGTCTCTCTGATTCACTAATGATAATGATTTGATCACAAATGATTCCCCTGGTGACTTAGTTTCTGGAACAGGACCTAGTGACCCAATTCAGATATTCCTTTCAAAATAGCTAACTTCAGGGCCCTCACTGATGGCGCAATGGGTTAAAGTACAGCACTATGAAGCTATCACACCACAGCACGAGTTCAGTCCCGGTCAGGGAGCTGACCCACATGGCATAGCAGACCTTTCCTGTCCCGCCCACCTGCTGCTTTCCTCAGCAGTGTATTTCAGAGTGCCTGTTCTCTTCGCACTCTGTCTCTGGTGAATTTCTCACCCACCTCCCTTCCCCAGCATCTCTGACCTGTATTCCAGTTCTTGTATGCATAAATAAAGAAATCTTCAAAACAACAACAACAAAGTAGCCAACTTCAACTCAAGTCATTAGAAATTATGATAGCATAATGTTATCTCTGGGCAATTAAGGGAAAACATACAATTTCATAGCATGAAGTACCTATTTAAAAAGGTACTTAAAAATAAACAAAAATTACTGAACAATATTTGCAAATATATTTTAATTAACAAATCTATTATCTACTTTTTTATTATTTATTTTTACTTGTGGCAATACCTCATTAGGTGTACCACCACAGTGTAGCCACCAACAACTAAGTTGTGTTCCTGCACCATAGACCATTATGCTTCCTTCCCTTTGTTCTCCCCCCTCCTCCCCTTGATGCTTGTTTTATAGTCAGCTATCAAGAGTTAGTTTTTTTTTTTTTTAAAGATTTATTTATTTATTCATACAGAACTGGGGTACAGGCCAGAGATGCGGAGGGTGAGAGGATTCACCAGAGACAGAGTGGGGAGCAGAACAGGCAGTACACTGCTGAAGGGGCAGTGGGCGGGTCAGGAGAGGTCTGCCACGCCATGGGGATCTCCTCCAGGGCAGGCGGGGATCGAACTCATGCGGAAGTGGCTTTAGCTTCTTAGTGCTGTGCTTTAACCCGCTGCGCCACCAGGGAGGGCCTCAAGAGTTAGTTTTAAGCCTATCTTTATTAGTTTCGTTACTTTATATTTCACATATTAGTGACACCATCCAGTATTTATCTTTCTCCTTTTGACTTATTTCACTTAGCATTATCTCTTTAAGCTCCTTCCGTGTTGCTACAAATGGCATGAGTTTATCTTTTCTGATCACCAAGAAATATGTGTATTTACCACATCTTCTTGATCCACTCACCTGTTCTAGAGGCACTTGGTTGTTTCTATAATTTGGCTATAGTAAACTGGGCTGCAACAAACAAAGGATGCGAATTCCCTTTCAAATTAGTGTTTTAAATTTTCCAGGTAGATACCTAGGAGTGGAATTACTGGGTCAAATGGCAGATTCATTTTTAATGTTTTCAGATAACTCCATACTGCTTTCACAGGGTTGAATCAGCTCGCATTCGTACCATAGTTTACTTTGGCTCTCTTTTCTCCACATCCTTGCCAGTACTATCTTTTCGATATGTGCCACTTTTCACAGGTATGAGATGATAACTCATTGTATTTCTCTAATAGTAACATGCTTTCAAGTGTCTACTGGCAGTTCAAATGTCATCATTGGAGACGTGTGTTTAGTTCTTTCGTCCATTTTTTAATTGGGCTGTTTTATTTTTTTAAGTTTCATGAGTTCTTTGTCTATTTCTGCTCTTTATCAAATGTATGGTGTGCAAATATTTTCTCCCATTCAGTCAGGTATCTTTATTTTAGTTATGGTTTCTTTTACTGTACAGAAGCTTTTTTAGTTTGATAGAGCCCCAGTTGTTTATGTTTTCTTTTGTTTTCCCTTGCTATTGAAGACAAAAAATCCCTTATGGCATCTGTAGAGCTTATGTCATGAAATAATTTGCCTATGTTTTCTTCTATATATTTTATGATCTCAGGTTTTATACACAAGTCTTTGATCCATTTTGGGGTATGGTATAAGATCATGGTCTCGTTTCATTCTTGTGCATGTAGCTGCCCAGTTTTCCCACCACCACTTACTGAAGAGACTATCCTTGTTCCAGTGTATGTTCTGGCTCCTCTGTCATAGATTATCTGCTCATACATATATATGTGTGTGTGTGTGTGTGGGCTCTCAATTCTAGTCCACTGGTCTGTGTCTTTTTTGTACCAGTACCAGCCTATTTTAAGTATTATGGCTTCATAATATAACCTAAGGCCTGGAATTGTGATACCACTATTCTCTTTCTTTTTTGTGAAGAAAAAAGAATTATGCTACTCAGGGTCTTTTGTGATTCCTTATGAATTTCAGTAGTTTTGCTCCAGTTCTTTGAATAATGCCACTGATACAGTTCTTGGGATTGCCTCAACTTTATATGATGCTTTGGGAAGGAAGGCCATTTTGACAATGTTGACTCTTTAGTACATTAGCAGATGTTACTTTACCACTTCTTTGTGTCTTAATACTTTCAAAAATGTCTTATAAAGTTTTCTGTGTACAGATCTAGCCTTTGCTAGGTTTACCCTAAGTATTTAATTTTTTTGGTGTACTAGTAAATGGGATCATTTTCTAAATTTCTTCCTCTTCTATATCATTATATGTATATAGGAAGGCAAATGATTTATGCTGTGTTGATTTTATACCCTGCCACTTTGCTAAAGTGATTGTTTAAAATAGTTTTTTCATGGAATCTTGAGGGTTCTCTGTGTATATTATGTTATCTGCAAATGATAGCTTTACTTCTTTCCCAATTTGGATTCCTTTTATATCTTTCTCTTGCTTAACTGCTCTATGATTAAGAAATTTCTATCCAATGGATATAGGATATATGCTCATATATATCCTATATATATGATATAGTGGAGGATTACTAGTGCTTTAATTGTAGGTGTACTATAACATTCATCTGAAAAGATACAGACCTATACCCCTAAACCACGTACAGTGTGTAAAAACCAACATTACCTCAATACAAATAATTTAATTAAAAAAATAAACAAAATTCAATAAAAGTCTTTAGGTTTCTGTGGGCTTACCTTGTTGTCCATAATTGTCCACTGGCCCTCAGCATTCTGCTTCAAGACACAGTGGTTTCGGGAGATCATCAGAGGGCAGATTTTTGATACCAGCTGATAGGTGACGCCAAATCCTCGCCCTATAGTCACCTATAGAGACAGTAACATAAGAGATACAGTCAGTCACTGTGATGAAGAAGGTCATTTACAATTTTGTCAGTCAGCAATGTATATATCTCCCTACTTGTGAAACCAAACTCCTGTGAAATTCAAATAGTTAACTGATTAGCTCCTCCTTTGGCTGCACAAGAACTACTAGGTAGAAAAAGGCAAGAAGTTACAACAGGAAGATACCGCTAAGTGGAGTTTGTCAGAGAATATCAAGGTTGGTAGGCCCATGAAAGATCATCTGGTTCAATACCCTCAAGATAGAGGAATTCTTTCTTTTTCAAGTAGTCTTAAATACCACCAAGAACTGCAGTCTCTATATAAAGCAGTCCACTTAATGGCTCTGATTTGCGATCTTTCTCCCATAAACTCCATCCACTGGTCCAGGCTCTGCAGGAACACCGTCAGAAAATCATCAATCCCCTTCCACTGACAGCTTTAAAGCTCTACAGTCTTTTCCTCTTTGCCCTATGTTCCCAATTATTTCAAACTAACTCCCGTGACATAGTTTGAGTCTCTGCCATCTAAGCGGGTCTGTAAAGAGACTGCTGGTTTATTTTTATTCCTGGATGGCATATTAAGAAAAATCAACTTAATTTCTATTACACAGCTGAATGCAAGTTTCACTTTCCCAGTTCTAGATATTATCACTGGAGCATGTAAATTGCATTAGCTTTCAAAGCAGATCTATCACGCTGCCAATGTATCCTCAGGCTTAGGAATGATTAAATTTCTTGGTCTAACCCTGTGCCCCCAAGAATTGCTATGCTAAATCATGTCTCTTCTGTCCTATACTTGAGTAGTTGGTAAATTTGGATTCAAGTGCAAGACTTTACAATGAGGCTACTAAATTTTATCTGGTTAGTTCAGTCTATCATGTGAGCATGTGAATTTTTATTCTGCCCTCATATATACTCAATATCCTTTCAAGCTTTGAGTCCCCCCAACAAACTGATATGCCTTTCATACCTTCATTCAAGACACAGGTAAACAGACTGACACAGGATACAGCCAAAGACAAAGTTCTCAGGACAGCTTAGTAAACATTCTTACCATACAATCTGAGTACACCAGTTATAATTAAACTGGAGGTCTCTGCATAGAGTCCTTATTTTCCTTCTTATCCACATGGACAGCAGAGAGCCTCTGAAAAATGTTACTGAGAACTCCCAACTCACATCTACCATACTTTCTTAATGGACCAAATTTTAACAGGAAGACAATAAACTTCATTTGTGACTCAGCTCCTAGAATCCCTTTCTTATTTTTTTTGGTACACAACTCAGTTCTTTAATGACCCATGCCACAATCTTACTTGGGAATATTAAGTGAAATGGTCTGTACTTTTCTAAAAACTGCTGACTTGCTCCTTTTTTAAATCTTTCAGAATCATAACTGTCCTCCTCAGTCCCTTAAAGAGTACTGTGACTCTCCACACCCAATCTATCCCTCACATAAACTCTCGTCTCAGGAACTGACATTACCCATCCAATCAATTGCTTAGCACATAACTAACATCTTTGATTCCTGTCCTTCATGTCAAAGTTCAAATCATCAGCAGATACTACTGATTATAATTTGGACATCTGAAATCTATTCATTTCTATTGACTTAGTTACTTATTCATACAGAACTGGGGTACAAGCCAGAGGTGCAAGGGCAATGAGAGACAGAGTGGAGAGCAGAACAGGCAGACTGATGAAGTACACTGCTGAGGGGAGCAGTGGCCAGGTCAGGAGGTCTGCTGTACCATGTGGGTCACCTCCAGGACAGGGAATAGAACTGCACTGAAGTGGCTTCAGCTAGTTTGCAGTGCTGCATCCTAATCCATTGCACCACCAGCGAGGGCCCTTAAATCTATTCATTTCTATTTGTACAGCCACTACCTAAGTCCAAAAAATCTGGTCTCCTCCAGTCGCACTGTGTTTTGCTCTTGTATTAGAACCCCCCAAACCTCATGCTTCACAGAGAGACTGGAATAGGTGTAAAATCTTTCCCTTCTTTCCTTTAAATTCTCCAATAGTCCAAACTTTCTCCCACAGCTATAAGGCCCTGGATGTCCTAAGCCTAGCTCTTTAGTTTTATCTCATGCCACGGTCAGAAACATTGCTTTCGTGAGGGTCTTTTTCACCTCTCCCCTCTGCTTAGAACGTACTTCTTTCAGGGCCTCCCTGGTGGTACCACAGTTATTAAAGACAGCACTGTCATGTTATTATCATCTACTGCAGCATAAGTTCAATCTCACCCGCAGAGAGCTGACCCACATGGCACAGACCTCTCCTATTTCATCCACTGCTTCCCTCAGCAGAGTATTTCGGTCTATCTGCCTGTTCTGCTCCCCACTCTGTTTCTAGTTGAGTCCTCTCAGCCCCATTCCTATACACCTCTAGCCTACACCCCAGTTCTTGCATGCATAAATAAGTAAACCTATAACGACACTGGCAGTGCAAGAGTTTGTTAAAGCACAGCACTGTGACGCTAGACCCAGCCACTTCAGCCAAGTTTGGAGTTCGATCCCCAATTGGGGAGGTGACCCACATGGTGCGGCAGACCTCTCCTGTCTCACCAACTGCTGCCCTCAGCAGTTTACTTTGCCATTCTGCCTGTTCTGCTCCCCACTCTGTCTCTGGTGAATCTTCTCACCACTCCTGTACCTCTGGCCTGTACCCCAGTTCTGTGTGCATAAATAAATCTTAAAAAAAAAAAAAAGAACATATTTCTTTCACATTGTTGAAGGGCTTCGTCTCATCTTTCAAACTCCTCAGAGGCCAACCCTGATCATTTTATCTAAAGTTACTATCTGTCCCCCATGCACTGGAGTTCCTCATGATACTAGTATTATAATCCAAACATTTTCTTGCTTGTTTTACTTTTCAATTGCATATACAACTGTTCTTCTGTACCTGGCACAAAAGTCAGTAAATATTTACAAAAATGGAAAACTAAAATAGATCTTATTTGTGAGTGCTCCCAGTCTCTAGAATGGGCATTTTTTAGGTTGACAGATGGAGCCTGGGTTATTACTACTGGAAACTAAGAAGCAGCAGCCAGGAAATCTGGCTTGTTCCCCTTTAAAATGTTGTGGAGGCCCTGCTGCTGGGAATGCAAACTAGTACAACCACTATGGAAAACTGTTTGGAGGTTCCTCAAACTGCTTAACATGGAGCTTCCCTTCGACCCAGCAATCTTACTCCTAGGTATCCCCAAAAGACACAAAATCACTGATTCAAAAAGATACCTGCACCCCCATGTTTATTGCTGCTTTATTTACAATTGGAAAAACATGGAAGCAGCCCAAATGCCCAAAAGTAGATGACTGGGTTAAAAAGATGTGGTACATATATACAATGGAATATTACTCAGCAACTAAAAAAGAAAAACAAATGTCTTTTGCAGCAACTTGGACGGAGCTGGAAAATATCATGCTTAGTGAGATAAGCCAGAAAGAAAAAGAAAAATACCATATGGTTTTGCTCATAGCAGGAGTATAATGGACCAGGTGAGAAAATAGTAAGAATAATGAATAGTCATATACCAGAGACATTTTGTGGGGGTGGAGTGGGGAATGGGATCAAAAACAGGGGAGGGGGGAGTGCATGGGACTATGGTGATGGCACATGGGTGACTCAGTGATGGGAAACCCACGGGAATTACAATTGAGATGAAAAAAAAAAGCACAAAATGATGTAAAAATAAACTATTATATTTATTTAAAAAAAAAATGTTGTGGAGCCACCTCACCAAAACCCTGCATCTTAAGTTTTTAATTAGTGCCTTACTAGTTTGCCAGAATTCCCATTTATTGTGTAAATTCCTGACTTTACATTATATATCATTTAAAAATGGAATGTTTAAGCACTTATTTGTCCATCCATTTTCACTAAGAAATTCTATTTAAGAAGCTTTATTTCTAATGAAGGAAACACTCCATATTCCATTTTAATCCTTCAGGAAAACAGCCAGATTGCCATGTGGGTAGCTATCTGGGCAGACATTGAATCAAGAAAGGAAGAAAACACTCTTTTTTCATCCTTCCTTTCACTGTCCAGTCCCAGAATTTCTCTTAGTATTAATGCTACTTCACCTATGCCATGGTTAAGAGTCTGCAGTGAGCTTATGTGGCTATCCCAGGTCACTTCATAATGTAAAATTAAATTTCGCATGGGGATTGAGTGCCAAAAAACCCCACCAACTCAGTGTTGAGGGTTGTTTCCATTTACAACAGTTTTGCAAGCCTTTGCTCTACTGACATTACATGATTGAGTGCCAAAAAACCCCACCAACTCAGTGTTGGGGGTTGTTTCCATTTACAACAGTTTTGCAAGCCGTTGCTCTACTGACATTACATGATCATCTTATCCTTACCCACCTTGGCTCAAACTATCCCTTTCCTTCTGGGCATGACTCCAACTGCTTCCCAGATGACCAGCAAATATTTAAGAATCATCCTTTCTCTTTTCTAACCCTCTTAGAGCAGAAAACTTCATGAAACTCAAATACAACAGAAGTAAAAAGAAAGATACGATGGTTTTTCCCAAAGGCTTATGGAGTACAGGAACTAGCTAATTTGCCATAAAATCTCTAATTTGTTTTGCCACCAAGGCCTTTGGATTGGTTTAAGAAGCTTAAAGACACCCCTCTTACCAATTGATTACAGTATCCCCTTCAATGAAATGAGAGGCACTTGGTTTTAGCTGTGAAATCTAAGACTCGGAAGACTGTATATATCCTAAAATTTTGTGCCTACTGGTCTGTGCTATGTTTTGGGAACCATTACAACCGGTGAGACTTCACTTCTTCTCATGACTTTGACCACAGGCAATGCACCAACTACTTCCTAAGATGCCATCTTGCAGGCAGCAGGGCTGGCCCGACCTCTCCTTGGCACATGCCTGCAAGTAGCAAGTCAATCTTCCCACTGTTTTTACCATTCACTGTGGCTGCTCCCCAGAGAGATGTGTCCACACAAAATTAGCCATTAATTTTAAACCAGCCTAGGAGTGCTTTCTATTCCTCCTGCCCCTGCTGCAGGTGCTTTAATTCTCTATGCCCTCTGCCCCCCCCCCAAGATTTACAGGGCTACCACGCTGTCTGGAAGTAATAAATCAATCCACAGCAATTAAGCCTGAAAGAATGAGCTGACACTTGACTACTAAGTTATCTTAGAGGGTTACATGTGAGAATGTAGTACATATGCAGATATCAGATTAAATAATCAGGAAAGCCCCACATAAGCTATAGTTAGCTATTATTCAGGTCATAGTTCTTCATTTGTTAGCTTCCCAAAGGTATATGCTTATGAAAATGACAGTGTAGGGAAAAGCTCAAGCTAAAAAATAAATGCCTATTGCATTTATTGGGCACTAATACCTGGACAGAAGAAAAATTGGGGAGCAGAGGTGTCCTCTTGGTGTTCTTCAAATCACAGTATATAAGTAAGCCTTTAAAAGCCGGGATCTAGCAACCTGAAGCTGACCTGAATTCCTCCTCTGACTTGAGAAACCACTGTTGTGTTTAATTCTAGGATAGAACTAAATAATCTACATCTTGACTGACATTTGATCACATAGTCTATGCTGATGTTCTTTCTCACTCTTTCACTGTATGAATTCCTTTCCCCAATGAACGATACATACTTTAAAGGCAGAAGTCACTTTTCTTTGGCTCTTTGTAGCACACCAAATAAGGTAAGTATGCAGTAAATATCTAGAAAACTGAATTGAGACTATAGTGCTTATAGAAAAGCTAAACATGCACAATAATCAAAAGGCTTCTTTAATTCATCTTTCATAAAAATCATTTCCAAAACCCAAGTGGTTATCAGCCAACACAGAGATGGCCATTCAGCTCACCTCAAACTGATAGCATTCTTTTAATTCTCTCCATTACCCCTCTAGAATCAGCACCCCAGTTTTAGTGCCCTCAACTGAAACCTTGCCTCACCTTTCCTCTTTAAAAAAAAAGTTAAAAATTTACATTTGTGACCACATTAGCAAACGCGACAAGCAGCCTCTGGAAGAGGGAGGCTCCTATTTCCGAACTCCTAGCCCCCACCTCATGGGAAGCCAAAGAGCAGTACCGAGACACAGGATGAATGTTGGCCATTCCAAAGGACCAATTTTCCTTTAGAAAAAGAAACATGTTACATTAAAATTTGAGGGTTTTATGGGGCATGACCGAAAATCGCCAACCGCTTTTAAAATAAACTCGAAAAAGTTCACGCTTTCGGAAGCCCTTCCTGGTTCTCTGTCAAACTCAGGGCTATTCTTGACTGTCAGTTCCGGGGCCCCGGCCAGGTACCGCAGGGTTCCGTGGGACCTGGGGGCATCCCAATCCCCTCCCACCCTCGAATACCCCTCCACCGCGAAACCCTAACTGGGGCTCAAACTCTACACCCACAACTCCCTACGCCCCTCTTCCCGGGTCGGTCTCACACCCCGGACTCAGCTGCAGCTGGCCCCCCAGCCCTAGGCCTCTCTCAAAGGAGCCATCTTTACTCCTACGTGGTCCTTACTGCCCCCCCACGCCCCAACACACCCCACTTCAGACCCCCCCACCAACCGCTGGTCCCAGACCCCATTCTCCCTGTTCCCCCAAACCCAACCTGCACACCTTTCCTCTTCCCTGCTCCCACCTCCTCGGCTCCACTCAGTCCTCTCGCCCCCACGCATGACTTCCCGGAGGCCAGTGCTCCCTCCAACCCCCTTTCCCAGCCGCAGGAGGACCCCAACCTTTCCCAGCCTCTCACCTCGCCGCCATCCTCTAACTGCAGCCACTCGGCGTTCATCCCCACCCGCCGCAAACACCAGCTCCGGCCATGGGTGCGGTCCCCAGTTAACAAGGAGCCTGGCTCCCCCATGGCCCACTAGGCCCTGGGTCGCAGTCAACGCAGAGCGAGACCCCGACCCTGGTTCCCGCCGCCTCTTAGCTTCCTCGCGGGCGCCATACCTAAACAACAGACAGAAGCAATCGCTACGCACTTGCAATCGATGCGAACTTTCGCTCAGGCTCGGTGCCTAGCCTGCCCGCCCCAGCCACGAACCCCAGCCACTGCGCCTGCGCGAGAGGAAGGCCCCGCCCCGTCTGTGCAGGTATCTGGGGTGCTGGGGACGCCCAGGCAGCTCCAGTTTTGCGAAAATTTGACTCGTGCTCCCTAGAACCACCGTCCCAGTCTAGTCGCCCCAAACAGGATGTTGCACCAGCAGTTCCTCATTAAGTATTTTTTCTTTTGCATTATGATGTGTCTTACTTAAAATTATAACCAACTTTAAAGCAACTTCAAACTTGATAATTTTAGAATCTGCTAAGTCTGCCCTATATAGCATCAAATTTGCACTACTTCCTTAGGCGGAATTTAAAAAATAAATATATATTGGGAAAATATATATATATAATTTATATTTTCAATTATATTTGATAATAAAGTAATGTATATATTAAATACATATGTATATTTGTGTATTTATAAAATAGGCAGATGTGTAGAGGCAGAAAACATTTAACTGAGGTTAGTGAGAGTGGGGATGGAATGCAGTTTGGCCTTAAGAGAATTTTGGGAAGTAATAGAAATGTTCTAAAACTGGATTGTGGTGATAACCGCACAAATATAAATTTGCTTTAAAAAAGCACTGATGCATCCATACACTTCCCAAAAAAAAAAAAACCACTCGATTTTTTGATATGTAAATTATCCTCAAAAGTTTTTTAAAAAAGAAAATCGCTTTTGATTTTTCCAGTTTAGTGTAGTAGCTGTTCTCAATAATGAGTACCTCTGTGATAACTCAGTGTCCTCTTTTTTGGTTTTTCAGTAACCTGGTTTCAAATTCTCTCACCAGGAAAAAAAAAATACATACTAAATAAATTATACAACATACAATAGGAAATGGCTAGCATTTATTGAGAGCTAAGTGCCAAGTACCAGGCCAAGCACCCTATATTCTTCATTTGTTCCTCTCAAACAATATAATGATGGTAGCTACCATTATAATTTCCACTTTAGGGATGATGAGAAACAGGTTTAGTAATCTTCCAGAGTAAGGAATGGTAGGGTATTGTAACAGGGTGGTCCCTAGGAAAAAGGGAAGTTTCAGGTTCCCTGCCTCACCCAGAAGGAGGGTGGAGCTGAGCAGAGAAAAAGGAGAGAAGAGAAGGGAGAAGAAGGGAATGAAGCAGGGAATGAAGCAGGATGGAGAAGGAAGAGGAGACTTAAATTAAGGAAGCCACATGGAGCAGCAAGCATGTGATGAAGAAACCGTGCTTGTTTCCTGACCCTGGACTGGTTAAGGCAGATGTGGGTGAGAGACCTGTAGGGAGGTGACTATGGCAGTGTTTATATTGATTTTGATGTTGTCTTTTGCTCCCAGATTTGTCTGGCCATTTCTGACCCTTTTCCATGGGTCCTGGCCAGAAGGTGCTTTAGTCTTGTGGCAGCTTTCAGGCCTTGCTTTGGGCCAGTCCCTTTTGGGTTGACTTTTGCCCACGAGGGGATGGGTAACTTCAGGTGTTTGATTTAGAAGTTATATTCTTTGTGTTCCGTATTGTATACTCACTGTATTAAAGTCCCTTTTCATTAAAGTTTTATATGTTTTGTCTTGTTGCAGTGGATGGCAGAACCCACTTAGAGCAGGCAGGTTTTGGGGCTTCAGGGGTGTCCCTCTCCCCCTGTCCTGTAACAGATTTGGCGCCCATCGTTGTAGGATTAGAGCCATCCGTGGTTAGTCAGCCCCATGGGGAAAGTTGCGCTGACTTCCTTGAATGCAAATGTGGTTTTTGTTTCTCTAGTTTTTTTTTCAGATGCAGATTTGTTGTTAAAAACTGGCTTGGTGTGAATATTCTATGTGTACAATGTTGTTGTGGTCACTTGCTAAGAGATTTGGTTTTGTGGAAATTGTGTAGCAGTTTTACTCAAAAGATAATAGTTTGGACCCTGTGGACAGATTAAAGATGGCGTCTGAGGCCACTTGGCTGGCTTCTCTGAAACTTGGAAGTTTTTGTTCTTTTGGGCTCCTCCTGAGATTTTCTACTTTCTTTGTTAACTAAAGTTAAGTTGCTAGGACTTTGGACTTTTTTTTTTGTGACCTCTGCTGTTTTGCAGATAGTGTTAGCATTTCTAAAAGCAATGATGGGTTTTTCAGAGATAGATTGATTTAACTTTGACTACTCCCCGTTTGGGGTTTGTAAACCAACAATGGAGCAGTGGTGCTTAAGTTAGCAAATGTATGCTTGGATGCAAAGAAAGACTAAACCTTGATAAGTAACTGGTAAATACTGGTAACCTTAATGGATTCTTGGAGATATCTTGAATTTTTGCAAAGTCTAGATCAGAAAAGTTAGAAAAGAAAAAATTGAGTCTAAAGGGTTTGCTGTTGTGAATTTTGTCTACACAAATTGTTTGGGGCATCTTTGCCATTTGAATTCTGGATCTGTTTGATTACTGGTGTAAGACAAGATTCTAAGATTCGGCTTCCTACTGAGGAAGGTCTTTTGTGGAAAGCACTCTTCATAGTGTATGGCTTAACTGTACCAGATTTTCATATCTGTGTTGTTGTGTTTTCTCCCTTGTGTGGGGAGTTACAATCAATAACTTGTATGTTGAATTTGCTCTTTCAGCTTCTGTGCCAAAGTGGGTAACAGAAGTAAGGAGATGACTCCTTTTAATTGAAAGTTAACTGCTGATTTTTGATTTTGCTTTTTCAGGTTCTCTTCCAGGAATCCCAAGGATTTCAAGCTTAGTGGCTAACAACATGATGACGACAGCTTTTGCTTGAAAGTTAACTGTTTTTACTTTTCTCTGCTGTATATGACACCCAAGATTGACTTCTAACTCTAGTGGAAATGCTTAAACACTGAAAAACATGTAACTCCTGTGATGAATGAAACTTTTCCTTCCTATTTCCAGTCTTAGGTTTGTAGGATAACAACGGAAACTTGTGATTTTCTGCCAGCAACACTGAACATTTTTTTTGGAATTCGAGATTTTTTTCTGGCCTATAATATAGAGTAAAACTGCAGTTACATAAGATTCCACGTGGCATAACTAAGAAAACTGTCTTGTCTATATGTTGCGTGTCTGTATGTCTTGTCCTTGTGCTTAATTGTCTTGGCCTCGAGGTGTTATAAAATTGGTTTCGGTGGCACCTATAGATATTGAAAAGAAATCAAACAAACAAAACTAATGAAAACTGGTATACATGTTTTGAAAACACAATTTGGGATAATTTTTGGTCCATGGTAACTAATTTGTGCTCTAATGTTTTAAAACAAGCGCTTCTAAAGTTGTATTGGGTATAATATTTTTTCTTTTTCTTGGGTTGATAATGTCAGGAAAATACAAGTTTGGAAAAATTAAGGTTTCTGAGGACAAAGAGTCTCTAGTTATGAAGGAAAAAGAACAAAAAGTTTATGGTTTGCCTGTTATGGTTTGACTGTTGATATTGCATTACTGACTGACCCGGAGCTTTCAGAGATTGAGATTGTTGTTGTTTGTTGTTGTTGTTTATTTTTTTTTTTTCATATTTGTGACAAAGCTTCCCAGAATTCGAAATTTGAAGAAAAATTTGGTAGTCTGTCCTTTGGTTCATCAAAGAAAATTTTGTGGAACCTCAGTAGAGCTCCTGAGACATTCCACAAAATTTCTTCCTTTCCTTCTGGAAAGGCATTTAGATCAATTTGGACTTTTTGGTTTACCTAGTAAAGAAGAATGACTGGAAAGGAAGCATTGTCACTTGGAAAAAGGTGGAACATGCCATGAACATAAATGTTAACACAGGTTTTCTGAAAAGTGCATCAAAACATTATAATATCATATATTGTTTGAATTGTAAATAATGATTATTTTCCTGAAATATTATATTTAATGGTTTGGCATGTGCTGAAATTGCTTCTGAAAAAAAAAATGTTTACAGAGAAAGACCTCAACTGATTCCAATTGGTAGAAATTTTGACAGTGAAAAAAAGAGTTTCTACAAAGAACTGAACAGACTGATTTTTGCTAAGTTTTTCTTTGAAATAATACTGGTATTTTTTTCCCCCATTTGATTCAAAGAAAGTTGTTTTTTTTTTTGTTTTTTTTTTTTGCTTTCAATAACCAGAATCTGCAGTAATTTTTTTCTTCAGCAAACTAACGTGTATTTCTATCTTTCTCTCCCCTTGATACCACACAATGTAAAGATTGTGGTAGTAATATTTACTACTCGAGTCTATTTTTGCATAACTTCAATAGGGAATTTTGTTCGCTTAACCTAAATAAATTGGAAATGTGCTGAAAATGTGTTTCAGTGGCGTGGCTTGGCATTCTCCGGGAACTTCAAATAGAGCTGAACCAAGAAGAGGAGAACCTGCTGCTTTGTTTGTAGGGTTCCAGAGACCTCCAAAGAAGGTGAGGAAGCTTGCCTCCATTGGCAGGCCTGGACGACCCGGGAAAATAAAAGTCCTGGTAACCTCAAGAAGAGGAAACTCCAGGTTAAGTCTGCTGAGACCAACGTTGCTCCTGAAGCCTATGTGGACTGGACATCGATGGTTCGCTCTGATCCTGTAGGAGGACTCCAGCAAGGCCAGCAACAACAACACAACTTGCTACTTGATTATTCTGCCCTGTGATTTATGTAAAAATAGAAAAATGAAAGCTAACATGTACTTGTAAATGACTTATGCATGCAAGTTGAACAAAGTTGGGATCACGGTTGAGAGAACCTTTTAAACAACTTTTAAAGTTTTGTTTTGTTCTGTTACTGTGGTTTTTATATACACCAGAAGGTTTTTTTTCCCTTTCACATGCACTAATGGACTATTTTCCACTTATTGGACATTCATGGACAATGTTGGTTACAGACTATACCCTAAAATTTGTGCCACCATAGATATGGTGGTATTAAAAGTCAAAAGGTGGGGGGGTTGTAACAGGATGGTCCCTAGGAAAACGGGAAGTTCCAGGTTCCCTGCCCCCATCCACAAGGAGGGTGGAGCTGAGCAGAGAAAAAGGAGAGAAGAGAAGAAAAAAAGGAAGCTGGATGGAGAACAAGAAGGAGACTT